CTGAAGATGCAGAAGGCATTAGAAAGAAATTAGTGAAATTACGGCAGCTGGCAGGGGAAGGAAGCAAAGCTTTCTGACACGGAAAGGAAATTAGGGCTGCAACTTAAGGACGAACTGGATGCTTCTACCACAGTAGTTAACAGTGGATTAAATGTCATTATTAAGTTTCAAAGTGAAAAACCCCACTGCCATAACTGAAGCAATACATACCTCTTTGGAAGTTACAGCCTTGGGGCATTTAGCAGCACCTGACAGCCCACAGGGCTAGTTTCTAAGGAATTTTTTCTTCACTAACCATTTGAATCTAAATCAAAGTGAAGAGTCTAGCAGACACTTTGGGTAATACTCAGACACGTCACAGAACACAAAACACGGTTTTGTTATGAGAAGCTTCCTTCTCTGTTAAAACGTTTAAATGAAGAAGATTCCTACGCAACGAGTAGCAAAGGTGGCTTAAATAAATTCGGTCTTCTGCTCTTTGAATTTTGTGTTCTCGAACATTTCCTACTGTAATACCCAGCTGGACAGATTTAGAGTGCACGGTTCCATCAGAGACACAAATGTATTCAAATCCCTCACCCCAAGAACATGCACCGTCATAGCGAAAATAAAGCTTTTTCCATTATTAACAGACATTCAACTCATCACACGAAAGTGCGTAAGGGATCAGTACTCCCTTAGACAGAAACAGTTATGAAATACAGCTGGTAACTGTTGAGTTTATTAAGGAACTGTTTTGTGGTGGCTTTTTTTTAAATAACCAACATGATACTTCCCCTCCAAATAAAAAAAAGTAATGGAAAGAAAAACTCAGCAGAATACAAGGAGAGAAGGGATAGAGGGACAACTCTGGACTGTTCTGACTTAGCAAAGACCTGCAACAACAGATCTCCAAACCCAGTGCTAAAGAGCCATCACACTTCAGAGGGCAGGGCCAATTTATCCAGTGACCAAGACTGCAGAGAGAAGTCTCATAGCCCGTGCATCCTTGCAAAAAGCTCAAGCTGATGCAGTCAGTTCAGCAAATTGAGACAGTGCTAGCACACGTAAGTGACTGCAGTCTTCTCAAGTCTCACATTACATTACTCAGTGGTAATTAAGTTATTTTTTCATACAAAGCCAGTTTAAAGCCAGTGAGTGCAATCTCTACCAGTACAAGTTCCAGAGATCCCCGTGATGTAGTGTTCCCTATCAGCCACTGCTGGGAAGTGGGTCTGGACTGGCCAGAGCACATGCAGTGGGGTGCTTTCTCCAACCTAACTGAGCAGGCCTCGTTCAGGTAAGAAGCAACCAAGGAGACCGCAATCACAAATGAACTAAGAATTAAGATTTGTCCAATCTGTGTGTGCGCTCATGCCTCCGTAGGGTGCCTGACTCGGTGAAGGAATGACCACAGTAATTGCAAGAGTAGGGCTTCTCTCCAGTATGGATGCGGTGATGGCGCTGGAGCGATGCCAGCCGGGTGAACGTCCCTCCACACTCCTCGCAATAGAAAGGGCGCTCCCCAGAGTGAGTCTGCTGGTGTCTTTTCAGCCTGAGCAGCTGGACGAATGCCATGCCACATTCCTGACACTTATAGGGCTTGTCTTGTCGGTGGATCACTTTGTGTTTGGAAAGCAGATTAGGCTTATCGAAACCTTTGCCGCACGTTGGACAGGCATAAGGTTTATAGTCATCTTCCTCAGACTTTTGGTTTTCTGCACAAGGCTGATCAGTGTACTCAACAGCGTGTTGGTTACGGTGCACTATCGACCACGGGTTCCTAGCCATGCCATTGCCCAAGATCACCATGGAGCGCTCTATCTTGTGCACATTGCGCAGGTGCCTCCAGACATCAGCTGTGCGAATGAAACCCTTGTCACACTCTGGACATTTGTGTGGTCTGTCACTAGAATGAATGAGCTTGTGCATGCGCAAATTTGCCGCACGGAAGAACTCTTTGGCACAGACAGGACATCGGTATGAGTTTTCCACAAGGTGAGTTCGCTTATGTTCCTGCAGCTCGCACGTACCCTGGAAAGAGGAACCACACTTCTTGCACCGATATGGCAAAGCTTCCTCAGCGACAGGCTCCAGGTCCTCATCAAACACATCAGCAAGAACGGTATTTTCATTATCGTCACGTAGTCTTCTCCGTGGTTTCTTGGACTGCTCAGAGGAACAGTGCTCTAAATCTTTATCTCCACACTGCAGGTCAAAGTTGGTACTGGAGGGGACAAATACCCCAGCTGTACTCTCACCTCGTTTCTGGTAGTAGGTCTCACAGGTTTCTTTGTCTTCACGTTGCAACTCTGCAGGAAGCTCCTGCTTACCTGACGGTCCAGCAGAGTTGCGAGGACTGCATGTCTGCGAGTAATTCATATCTACCTCCTTCTGGAGGCTAAATGTGTGGCCCACCTGCTTAGTGGTCTTTCTGGAATAATTTGAATGCTTCTCACCTGTGTCACAAATGTTATTCTCAGAGTCCCAGTCCACATTCACATCCATCCTCTGAGGCGTACGCTGTGTTCATCTGCAGCTCCTCGATGATGTGTATACCGAGGGCTTCAGGTCTTTCATGGTAAGTCCATCTCATTCTTAGCTCTCTTTACAGTCCTCCCTAGAAAATAAAACACCCATTTCATCGGCGATTTTTCTGATATTAACATAAGATAAAGTTATCACAGTGAAGATTTTTTTCTGATTAAAAGAATGGGACAGACTATTAGTTAAGCAGTAGTAGAAACAGAATCATCTACAATTATATATGTAGAAAACATACATTCAGCATACAAGATATAGACAATGTTTAATGAAGTTAAATCATCTATCATATTCCAGCCTTCACTACAAATACAAACTGATAATTTCCATTTTAAATACACCTAAAGATGAGAAATCTTCAGAACTCTGGGGTGCAAACACTTTGGGCAAAGTCCTACACCACAGCTGCCCCCACCACAGCTCTTTTTCCAAGGATTCATGCTTAATCCTTGTTTTTACCTTGCTAAATATGAACTAAGAGCACCAGTCACGATGTGTTTTCTTTCAGAAACCAGTTAGGTAACGCAATGAGACCCAAAAACTGTGTCAGTCCAACAGCCAAAACCAGAAGCAATGTACGGAAGGGGTGTCTGGAGAGCTTGGGAGCACCTTTGGCCTCCCATCCTGACCAGCATCATTGTAACTGTCTTGAGGATATTTGGGTTGCCTGTGCCACTACCAGCTAGCACCATGCAAAGAAGACACATGCAAGGAAAGGCATGAAAGAGCTGTCCAGAAAGCTTATTAATCTCCCTCCCAGGCTTCAAAGCACAGATAGTAATCCTCCAGAGCTGGCTCATGGGAACAGCTTCAAATTCTCTGGGTAAACTCCCTTTGCAGACCAGCCTTGCTAGCAGAAAATATAAGCAATGGTAATTGGTCAGAAATACCTGAGTCACAAACTTTCTTACAAAGAAGATGCTTTTGTTTATGCCATGGCAAAGCATGGATTCACAGGAGGTTTTCTAGATTTGTCCCAGGAGCCTCTGTTGACAGCAGCTCCACAGGGACCTTTCACTCACTTGGTTTAAACCTGCATTCACACTGAATTGCTAGTCTAAACTCAGAAATTGCATTTTTCCAATCCTGACGGATACCTTGGCTGATCCTCTGACCCCCACCTTCTCCTTCACACCCACTTTTCATATTCCCTTTACTCCCACTGTTTCTTTACTTCCTCGTAACTGCTTTTGCCTGTGTAAGACTTCTCTGAATACAAGCACATATATATATATATGAAAAAGCACATGTATCTAAAAATGTACGTTTCTGTATTTCCATGCGTACATAAATATAAAGCTTGTCTATTTAGTTTCACTAGGTTTAAATAGTTATAAAGGCACTATAGCAATATGCATTAAGTGAAAGGTCTTATTCACATCTCCGAAAGGCCGGCTTCATTCGAGACACAAGCTGCGCTTTCTTCTGCTGTCATACAGAAAACAAGCTGAATTAGTCGTCTTCGTTAGTCACTGCCTGGAACAGAATGGCTCAAGTCACCCCCCAACTTCGACCGTTCCGATTAATTTGATAACGGGCGCATGAGAACAGGAACTAATCCTCACCTCCTGCAAGGGGCTGAGCACCTCCAGCAGCGCACCGAGCCGTGTAACTGAGCTGCCGTCTCCTTTGTTGAAGAAAAAACTTTTCCAGGGAGGCTGGCACCGCCTGGCTTAAGAAAACTCCCTGACAAAGGCCCGCCCGGTTTCCACGGGGAGGGGAATATTTAAATCACGATGAAGGCTTAAAAATAATAAATAAGTAGAAAGTAAATAAATAAGAAAAGGATGGGTTTTCGTTGCAGGCAGAATGAACCCCCAAACTTTCCCCCGGTGGGGCAGGGGCCGCCCCGCCCCGCA